ATCAACAAGAAAGCAAACTGAAGTTGGTTATGTAGAAGGAATTAGAATGCTGGTAACCAATTGGTCCTATTGGTTATTGATCTTTGTTTTTGCAACATCATTTGGCATCTACTTTGGTTGGTCATCAGTTTTAGATCTTGCTGTTCAGCCATTTAAAATCGATGAGAAGACTTCTGGATTGCTGGGAACCAGTGGAAATTCAGCTGGAATTGTTTCTGGAATAATTATTGCAAGGTAAAACCTTAGTTTTTTCAGGTTATATTTCACTACGTATGGGTTATCCTGGCTCTGTTACCCTTAAACCCTAACCACAATACTGTTCCCGGTTTCTCTGTCCTGCATTTTCCACAAATAACAAACATAGTACACAACTATGTCTTTTTATACGTAACATGTTAACAAAAAGACACATTTTGGAAAAAGCCCCCTTAACCTGTTAATTAAAAACACTATATCATGAGTTGAGGGTATGACAACTTTTACATTCCATGCTGCCATGCATGTGTTCAGTAAGAGACTTCTGTTAGAGTAGGTCCAAATACTGTATGGTAAGGGATAGAAACATTAGATAAGCAATGATGGGGGAGGGATGGGGCTGGTGAATTAGAAGGTTGAAAAAAGAAATCCAAGTAAAATGCAACAAAAAAAGTTTGCCTTACTGTAGGTAGATAAAGGAAAAAAAACCTTGCACTCCAAAACATTCCCAAGGTTCCATAATACTGTACCTATGGTTGGGTAGTCCAAGGTAAACCCGAGCATTCTGATTGGTTCTTGTTAGGTCAGGATCTTGTAATATGGACTGAATACAAGGAAACAGTTCTAAGCCATGTATTTTTATTTTTTGTTCAAACCATACAGACCTGTGGATATTATTTTGCCCTTGGTCATTTTTGTATGGACCTCACTGTACAGGGACCATACTACCAAAACCTTGGGCCAATATTCCCCTGTAAAGCTCTTGAGCATGGTAGCTGAGAAGTTATTATTGGCTATTTCATGTAACAAGTGTCTTTCCTTTGTTGTCAGGTCAGCAGATATTGTAAAGCGTTGGACAAAGGAAATCCTTGTGGGGCTGTACATCGGAACTATTATAATGCAGCTGATCTTCACGCTGACCTGTTCGAAAATCTTGCCCTTCTCCCAGGAGCTTCTATTTGCTTCAATTATCTGCAGTGGGTTGTTGTTTAATGCAACAATTCCTTTACTGTTTGAACTTATTATGGAGTGTGTGTACCCTGTTGGGGAGGGGACCGCTGCTGGTGTAGGCCTCATTCTGGGTAATGCAGTGATATTTGTGTTTGACGCAGCCTTCATGTTTCCTATGTCTAATGTAGAGTGGATGAACTGGGTTAGTGTTGGTGGTATTGCAATTTGTGTTCCTCTGCTTCTTGCGTATAAGAGTCAATATCGAAGGCTTGACTTGGACACTAGTTGAATAAACCACTGTCGTCCTAGACTATGAGCAGTCACTCCTTTTTGGGTGAAAAAAAAATAAGCAAAACAATTTGATGTTTTTGTGGTGCACAAAACTCTTGAAGTAAGGAGGGTATCTGAATTTTTTTCTCTATGTTGACTTATGTTTTACTCATGCAACAGATTTTGCTGCAAAAGAAGGACTTCTTATAGTCTACTGTCATCCACTCAATTAGTTTTGAATGGTTGAAAATATTAATATGTTTTTCAATATTTACCAAAGGCCTCAGGGTGGAACAGTTGAAAATTGAGTTTCAATGTAAAATGACCTGGTAAAATTAAGCTTTGGGCAAAAATTTTCATTGTTTTCTTCTCTGTCACTTTGACTCATGATGGAAGGTACAAAGTACCCAGAGATTTGGTTAATATATTATCAAGGATTATTTTCAATTTTTGATCTTCATCAAGTATAAGTAGTTTTGAAAACAGAATGATAATAACATGGTTAAACCAACTGTCCTAGGGAAAACAGAGAAAAATACTTTTAAATTGTAAATACGACAAAATTTAATTTATTGAAATCATTTAATTGGGCAGACAAACAAAAAACAAAAGTCTTATTTTGTGATGAGTTGGGTAGAAACTGTCAATAAAACTGTGGTTCAGTGCTGAAATTGCATATTTTATTCCTTTGTTTACTGTAAACTGTTGAACTTGCAATGCAGACCTTTGTCAGAGCGAAGGGGAATGGTGGGCTGACCATTTAATACAGGTTCCACAGATAGGGGTATTATCAAAAACGATAAACAACGACACTTTATGCTATAATTGACCGCTTAATATACAGAATCTCGCTCAACAATACAACTTGCTTTGATTTTGGGAGAGAAACATGGGTTGAAATTACTTAAATAATATTCTTTTATTATTCTTAGTTTTATTTCTGTGGTTCTGCTTTAAGTGACCATTCAATACAGACCTTCGTCAGAGCGAAGGGCTAAAGCTCGAAACGTCAGCTTTAATACTCTTCACGGTGGCCAATATTACATTATCAACTCATTTGATAAAACTCATAAAATTTATTACCTTGTTACTCCCACCGACGCAGCACTATAGTTTCTTCACGGTGGCCAATATTACATTATCAACTCATTTGATAAAACTCATATTACCTTGTTACTCCCACCGATGCAGCACCATAGTTTCTTCACGGTGTCGAATATTACATTATCAACTCATATGATAAAACTCATATTACCTTGTTACTCCCACCGACGCAGCACCATAGTTTCTTTACGGTGGCCAATGTTACAGTATCAACTCATTTGATAAAACTCATATTACCTTGTTACTCCCACCGACGCAGCACCACAAACTCTAGTTAATTTTTTTTTCGGGCTTGAGAGGAAAGCCTCGGCTATTTAACTCAAAAATTATTTTAATTTTTCATGACAAATTACAAATAAATAGATTAATGACAGATGTAATTTGTGACAGCCAAAGGTGAGCAGAATATTTTTAGTCACGCTAATGAGGGTTTAAATTCTCTTCTTGTAAAATGCTTTTCCACGTCCATTGAGTTCTTTCTCGAATTGGAAATTTTCCTCTGTTAACAACTTTCTAAGTTGAGCACGGCGAATCTGGGGAAAAGAAGAGATAGTAAATCAACGAAAAATAAATATACGAGATGAGAATTCCAAAATAACAACTGCAGGAAGCTGGAACTCATTCATCAAAAGCAGCTTTACTATTCAAACATCGGTATGCATATTCTCCCTTCCGTTCTCTACCAATTTCTTCTGATACTGACAAGGAGAATTTGTCATAGAATCAAGGGGTTTTGAAGTTGGTGATTATTTTCTGTATTCTCATGACCCTAATGTTTGAACCAGCAGCGAAACTGTATGGAGAAATTAGATGCTAACGATTCTAAGGGGCTAGGTGGTTTTAAAAAAGACCACACGTACCGTGAAACACATTCTATGCATTTGAGTGGCACACGTTGAAAAGAGAAAGCAAGAACTTATTATTTTGGCGACAGAATATGAGCGAGAAAGAAAAGATTTCTTTTTTTCTTGCATCTCACAAAACAATGTAGAAACATGCCTTTATGAATTCTTCGTTAGCCATTTTAAGTTCATCGTCAGCAAGACATTTTTCTCTTCTCTCGCGCCTCTTTTCACTGTCCTACAACAAATCACACCAGTCAAGGAACTTTTTTTTCTCTTCGCAGCACCTGTTATCCAATGTTCCTTTTTCAAGAGCGAAAAGTTAAGCTAGTAGAGTGAATGACCCGTGGACAGAGTGTGACAGAACCGAGAAAAATTATCGAGATTAGAAAAAAAGATATGACTAATTCAAACTGAGATGGGAACTCCATCGGTGTGGCGGTAAATCAACGGAGGTTTCCCATGGAATATTGAATATAAAGTAACTCACAAATTAAGAAACATATCCCTGTTGTTGGATCTATAATCAGCCACAAACTACGGTGTCACTGCGGGAGCAGGAGCGATTTGAATAAAGAGGCGGAAAGATTGAAGAAAGTCGTTGACTGTTATCCCAGACGCTTTGGTTTTTCTTTCGCTTTTCCTTACACCCCTCTTGAATTTCTGGAGCTTGGCTACTTGATTTTCAGTCTCTGGTTGGGTTCAGTAAGTCCGCGGTTGTGCATTACAAGGCAACATGTTACTTTCTCTCCCTTAACCCCACCCC